GAGAGAGAGAGAGAGAGAGAGAGAGAGAGAGATTTTTATATAAAACACCCAGATCTATTGCATTTTGCGACGAATATACTTTTGACTATTGACCACCCATTTTGCCGTAGCTTCGAGTGAATATTGTTTCAAATTGATCATGGCATAATATGGCAACTCATTAGACAACGTGTTTAGGTAGCGCTCGACGTTTGGACAGTCGCTTAAATCGTATTGTATGGCCAACAATACGGCAGTTGAGGCCAGTAGTGTCAGGTCAGCAATAGTCAAGTGCTCAGCGCCGGTGGCGTAATGATTGTCGCCCAACAACTGGTCAAACAGTTTCAGATTGTTTTTAAAGGCCAACACTTTTTCTGGTGGCGGGTCCGCACCCGTCAACAGTTTCCATAACTATTGTTTATTAAATGGATGAATAAAATTTAATTAATAATAATGTTTAAACTAACATTTACTACACTATGTATTGTTTTATTTACTAACCACTCCCTGTTTGGATGACTCCATTAGTGTGACATCAAAGTTAAGCCACCGGTCGACGAGCGCCCGGGCCTTAGGCTCGCGCGGGTATAGAGTGCTGTCCGGCCGGTACTGATTGCACAGGTATTGCATTATTGCCCGGCTTTCCACCAAAACAAACCCCTTGTCGTCCAGAGTCGGCAGATTGTGATTAGGGTTTACCTTATTAAATGTACAATTTATAAATACTGTACAATTTAATTAAATATGGTTATGATAGACAATATTTAGACAGTATATAAATTATTATTATTAATTAAGAAATAATTAATTAAATACCTTTAAAAATTGAGGGCTCCATATTTCAGGACCAGGATCAATTTCAATTACGTTTAAATCAATGTTTAACTCTTTGGCTGTCATGAGTACAGCCCGGCAATAGCTACTTCTATTAAATGAATAAAGGTCCAGTGACATATTAATTGTAAGTTATAATTTATAACGTTGCTCAATTTATTGTAGATGAACTGAAATAACTAAAATAAACTATAATTTTAAATAAATGCAATTTTAATAAATATATTTTTGTATTTGTAGTAGTGTTTATAAATGACTGTTTTTGTTGTGTAATACTAGCATATAATTAAGTTTCAAGGTTAAATATTACATTATCGTTCAAGGTAGCGTTTTGAAAATGTGATTATTTTCATCTTAAGCAATTTTAACGTGTGTTTGACACTACATTTTTGCGCAATTAATTGTTATTTTTAAATTAATATAACATTATTTGTATAATTTTATATACAGTAGATACAATTACACCAAATTTATATATTAATTACTGTTGTGAGTTATAATGATGATAAATTTAGTTTATAGTTACAGTTATTAACAACTTCTATAATTTCGATAAGTTGTTAATAATTTATAACTTAATAAGTTATAACTTGACATTATATTTACGAGATATCATTCAAGTAAATATTAATATTAATTATTTGGTCATTAATAGTTTAATAATACATTAAATAAAATGTATACAAGTACAGTTGGCTCATTAATTATTTGTAAATAATAATAATGTATAAATAAAAATAATTAATATAAGTCATTTTGTATAGCGAACTTTTTGTAAACAATGTACTCCAAGTAATACAATGTACCTTGGGCATTTAGTTAACACTTAACCGTACGGCTCCCGAGGCGTCGCTGTTGGCGCCGGCCGTTGCGTTCAATTGCCTGGCGATGGCCGCCGTGTCGGCGGTGTTTGACCTGCCGTTCGGCCGTTTGCAGCGATCGCTGTCCGGCTATCTGTTTGATGGCCGCAGCGCCCGACGTCCGGCCGATCGTCGCTCAATAGTTAAATCGGATTAATTTTATTATATTTATTGTATTGTGATTGCTGTTGAATGCATCAAGCTAATTATTGATTTACGTAGATTGATTAGCACAAATATTATATTTATGGTGTTTTTGAATGTAAACGTATACAATAAAATAGTAACGCTGATAAAATACCATGTTAAATTTTTTTATTTAAAACTAATCATATACACAAATAATTTAAAATAAATACTAAAGTGTTTTACATATGTGACTTATAATTGATCATGTTTACTAATAACAATTATAATTATTTATAATCATGCATTAATATACGTGACATTATTGTTGGCGCAAAATATTTTCCTTAACAAACTTCTGGTATAAACTAAATCCGGATTCATATCCGATATGTTTAGCCACTGATTGTCGGCAAAAAACTCCAGCGCCTGTAGAGTGGCCATCAGTTTACTATATTTTGCAGTGGAATCCCATTCCGTACGGCATTTCAATAGTAAATAACGTTTCAATAAGTGTTTAAACATGTGTTGATATAATCTATGAAATAATAATTTAAAATAAAATTATTTTTTAAATAAAACATATTTAATTTGTAATCTAGCGCATACTTAATTGTATCTCGGTGCTTTAGCCCTATCCGATACGGGCTGTAAAATGTAATTGCTGATAACTGGCAAAATATATTTATTATTTAAAAATTTTGTTATAATCATGGTATTATTTATTACCAGGTCGAGCACTACTTGATCGCCATCCCATTCGTTATGTATAACATGGTAGAAATTGATGAGAGCTTCGTATACAAAACGTGGTAATTCTTGAGCCGGACTTAAATTAAATGATATAACATTGTTGTTGTCCTAAATATAAATATTATAAATAGATATTTAATTAATTATTCAATTAAATAATTTTATATAAAATAACAAATTAAAAATATATTAATATAAAATACGAAAATTGTGCAACGTGATAGAAATAATTGTAATTAGTAATATTTAGGTGATAATCATTTAATTTATAATATACTATAAATAGATTATTTTATTTTAATGTAAAATTTAAAGTGTTAGTATAATTTTTAATACTATTTCACAATAATTGTAAAAATGCACCATTTATTATACATGTTTAACACTATATCTACACATTAAATACAACTTATTTATTGAGTTACAGTTTATATGCGAAAGAGAGAGAGAGAGAGAGAGAGAGAGAGAGAGAG